AAAAATCTAGAATAATCCCCAAAAATAGCAAAAAAATTCCAACAGATCATGTATTATTAACACATTCGTATTGAAGTAATACTGATTAAAAAAAAAATAAATAAATATATAGCATCCAAGCAAGAGGACAGACCATTTCAGATGACAAATTCAAGCCCCATTGGTAATATGCTTTTTAGGCTGATGTACTTGGTGTCTGGTTGCCTTGAAGGAATTCAATTTGTGTTGCACAATCTGCTTTACAAAAACTGGGTTTCCCAGTCCTAAATACTGGAGGTATCATCTTGAAAGTACTTTGTTAATCACACAGAGCTGAAAAAGATCTAGAAAAAAAGCTGGTGCTGGAACTGATCACTGAGCAACGGGACAATTTAACCCAGTCCTGTGCTTACAAGTGAATTGACCAAACCCACAAGGAGAAAATGTAAAATCTGGACATTATGCTTGGATGAAGAGGAATTTTTTCTCTTGTGTCTAAATTACTTTTGGCAGCTGAACGATGGCTTTTTGTTTGGTTTGGTTTAAGGCGACTGAGTGTCTCTGCAGATATATTAAGTCTGATATGCTGGGATATGGTTTGAAGCTTTTCCTGACTGGCCTGATCAATCATGTTGTCATCACTAACCTTCAGTGATTGATTAAAAGGCAGAACTCATCAGAAGTGATTCACTATGAGGAGATTATAATCTGACTATTTTACTGAGGTGATATATTATTCGTAGTTTATAATAATTTTGGGGTTTCTTTCCTAGCATGTTCAGTCAGAGATTTTTGTTGCTTTCAAATCTAAATGAAAAGAAATAGCAAAAATTTCCCAGAATTTCCTTTTTTGATTATTATTTATGGTGGCAATACAAAACTTACAGGTGATGAGAGAATTATTTAAAATATTATGTGACTGAGTGTAAATTACATATGCCACAGTTGCAGTGAGGCTTTATCAGTTTTGTTGCTAATGACATTGGCATTTGCAGTGACATCTCAAAACTCAGTTAATCTAATACTTGAGCAGCCCCTTCTCCTAAGTAATGTGGAGCTGATGACTTGACAAAAGCTTCTTATTAAAACTTTGCAGCAAAAACATGAAGACATGGCAGTTATGCTTCTTCTTTCAAATAAGATGTTCTCTTCAGCAAGACTGCCTCGATTATGCTAATATAATGTGCCAGTATCTGTGGAAATGTTCATTCCAAAAGCTCCTATTGACATCAATGAAAAAATGCTTAATGAAGGCAGATGGTGGTGTTTGAGTCTGTGACATCTGCTTTAGTTTGTTTTCTTTCAGGGGAACTAAGTTTCTTATCCACTGATGGTAGAAGTAATGGCTAAGCTCTCTGTAAATGAAATAACCAGTGATATTGATAATTTTTTCTCTCACTTTCTGATGCATTTGTTTTAGTGACATCCACATACCAGCAAAAGTAATGAGAATATTGCCACTGATTTCAAAAAGCTATGTACAGGGAACATTTTGCATTAAAGAAAAGTTTGTCATATAGTCAGTTTTATTCTTTCCCTGGGGAACTCAATTTATTATTAGTCACTTTCTTCTGCCAGTGTGGGTCTTACAGCCAGTGACAGGAACAATGGCAAATATATAGCAATGAAACCATACAAGTTGGCAGAGGCGTGCAGAAGCAATTAAATTATTCCAGCTCTTTAAAATAAAATCTGATCCAATATCAGGTTGTCAGTTTGTGTAATCAGTTTCCAGTTTTCAAAAATGCACTGCAGTCTTAAGTCAAAGGTCTGATTCAAATAAATAGATTGAAATATACCCACTGATTTCAGGGTGTGTTGTACCAAGTCTTCAATATTTTATAAAAAGTTCTGGGAGTAGTCGTCTCCAAAGACAATTATGAAAATGAAGCTCCAACTCACCTCAGAATATCAGTAACTTTTTTTCTCTAATTTATGAAACTTCATGCCATTGGAGAAAGTGGCATCTTTCTTCTACTAGGCAGACACAGATTTTTAAGTCAAATATTTCTATCCAGTGGTTCCACTACCTATCAGATGTATATATGTTATGGTGTTGGCTGAATTTCCCACACAGAGGAGTGAACAGGTATGACTGACAGCAGAATTCAGGCTTGGGAAAAACGGAAGGTTTTGGCTTCTTCACTGGAAGACTTAAAACAAAATGCTGAGTTATTATTCTCTTGATTCCTTTTCAGTACTTACCACTGCTACTCTAAGAAATATTTTACTATTTTATAAGGCTGGTGTGCCTCCAGAAACTAAAGAATGTCAAACAATAAGCCCATAGAAATAAGATTTTGTCTGTACTGCTATATGAACAGTGTTTTTGAACAGATCAGGAATAATTGATGAATGCTGGAAATTTCTGGGAGAGCTGATATTTTGTAACCACAGTGAGGATTAGCACACATTTCTTGTAAGAATGAAAACTCATAAAAATTACATCTCCATACTGAAATCAGATAACCTTTCAAAGAAATACATGTACTTATATATATGCACATGCAATTGTACATATAAATGCATATATAAATGCAGCAGGATAGAAATAGAGAACATGTGAACAAGTGTTCAAGGCAGTGTACAAGTTCACCCAGCAGGTATGGTTTTATTATTGTACTGCCATCAGATTAATGTAATCTTTTTTCTGGAGTAAATATGAGCTTTTCTGAAGAGGGGAATAGACAAAAATATGATGTGGTACATTGCACTATAACTTTCTGGTCTATTATATATATATATACATATGTATGTATGTATGTATGTGTATGTATACAGCATATAAATATAAATGGTGTACATATGATAGGTATATGCAGACAGTAAAAGCAATGATTCATTAACAAAGCATATTGCATGCACTCTGTTCTTTGTGAACCATCTATCTGACACATTTCGCTTCCTGGGAAGCAGTCACATGTATGCAATATTGCCTATAATCAGCTGCAGGAAAATTTTGTTGCATTACCTGTGACAAGGCTGGCAGACACTGGGACACCTGTCTGAAGCAGACTGCTTCAGGTAACTGAGAAAAGAAAAGCAAGGGGCACATTTAGTTCCTTAAGTTATGCAGGGATGTACTATGGACTATCTCCAGGAAAGGCTGGGTGCCAGGGTTGCACAGTGACTGTTTCACCCTTGCTCGCGAAGGAGGATCTGGTGTCTGGGACACAGAAGCAGCTCTCTGGTGTGTCCCAAATATGGTCAGTTGCTGGGTGTTTGTATCATGTCTCTGCCTCTTCCCATACCTCCCTCCCCCGTGTAGGATCGCCCCATGTGGGGTCTTTCCCTGTCAGCACAGTAGTGTGCATCATTTCACTGTTTTACTGAACAACCAGTAAATGAAGTGAGAAACACTATAAAAACTATAGCTTGATATAAGATATTTCCATCTCAGTATGTCTTTGTGTATTTCTGTTAATTGCTCCACTTTGCAGAGACCAATACAAGCAGATTCCTTAATATTTGGTATGTAAACTCCAGGATATATGGTGAAATTAAAGTACACCTAACTGCACTTTAATAGAAATATATCCCTCTGAACTCTTCTGAAAGATGGAAATGATGGAATATGAGTAAGAGTCACTGTAAGAATAACAGATTAGAAAAAAGATGTGCCTTTGGTATACCTAATTTCATATGCTAGTAAAAATTTTTCACAAATATTCTTTTCAGAGGCACACTTATGCAAAGCATAACAAGGAATGAAAATACATAATAATACAATACCTGAAAAGGCCCATTAAAAAATTGGAGCTATTATTAAGCTGTAGCAGACTGCTTGAGAGCACATAATTCTTAAACCATAAGAGTTTTAATATATTAATTAGGTGAAATTATGAGGCTTGTTGCTACTAGGATATGCACTGCTTGTGTACTTTTTGCGAAAGCAGAGGACCTTATAAAACATTTGTTCTGAGCATATAAAAAAATACCTGAAGTCAATAAAATTGTTTGGAAATAAGCATATTCAATGTCTAATACAGTGGAGATTCTTTTTTTAGTAATTTTTTCAAGTGAAGATGCATACAGCTCTGTGCTGTGTATGCTTACTGCTTTTTTATACAATTTCTGCCCTAATTGACCTTTCTGTATTGTTCTCCTGAAATCTCAGGAGTAACCTTGGCAGTTTGATTATGTATCATGTATCTACTGAAAATAGTACTTGCCTTCTCTGTCAATTTGATGTTGCTTTTATAATCAATTGCTTTTAAAATTGGTGGTTTTCCCTAAAGTCCATATACACTTGAATATCAAATAGTAGTCTTTTATCCTAACCCCTGCTTCTTTTAAAGTAGATTTTTTAAAGAGTTCTTTGCAAATGGCAATATATCTTTTACTTTATGAGAAAATTTAGCTTGCATGCAAGAGACATACATTTCTAGGAGCTTCCACAAAAAGTGCTTGATTTGAATCCAGTTAAATTATGAAAATGTATACCATAATTCTTTGTTTAGAAGAGCTGAGATGGTGTCAGATCCTTGTGGAAACATAAAAAGATTAATGATGGAGCTCTGCCTGGCTCTCAGATTCTCACTTCCTGAATCAGTGTAGCAGAAATGTATAAGATGACACATTGACTCTGGGGAGGGAGCAGCAGTGATTTGCCTTATTATTTCACATGTCAGTCATGTAATAGAGCAATATCGTGCCAAGCAGTAAAAGAAGAAATTTCTAGCTTATCTGTCCTTCAGCTTGAAGAACCATTGCACATACTTCTGAAAAAAAAGTATGCATTTGCAAATTAGCACCTTACTGTGGGTAAGAACAAAAAAATATCTAGATCTTCTGAGACATTCTACCTGGAAGCAAGACAAAATACTGGGAAGTAGAAACAGTGCTCAGTTTGCACTTTTAATGACCTTCCAAGGAAGTGCCCTATGGATCACCAGCTCCAGAAAAAATATTTTGATGGAATTGTTGTGTACTTTTTCTCCTGCAATGTAGAGCAAAGTTGCTTAATGTTTTTTCAATCAAATGTCTGTACATGTTCCCTTTGTTGTTTGGTTGATTTATAGATCTATTTGCGATTTTTGGACTACGAGATGCAGAATTCCAACGAGTGCAAAAGGAATTTTGTAGCAGTGTATGACGGAAGCAGCTCGGTGGAGGATTTGAAGGCAAAGTTTTGCAGCACAGTTGCTAATGATGTGATGCTAAGGACGGGTCTGGGTGTAATCCGCATGTGGGCAGATGAAGGCAGTCGAAACAGCCGATTCCAGATGCTCTTCACATCTTTCCAAGAACGTAAGACCCTAATCAATGCATCTTCCTTGCAGTTTGTTAAATGATACAAGTCCCAAAATCTGTTAATATTTTCTTCATGCAGAGCAGTCACTGAAATATGTTGCCAAACAAGCTATATAAATATTCAACCAGTTTTTATTCCAAGTGTTTGTAGTAAGCAATATTTTTTAATGCAGCAGACAGACCACAAGATTCAAAACCAAGAAAATAGGTACAAGTGGTCATGACCTGTCCAGTCATATAACTGTGACTTTTGTCTGATCCCCAAGCTGCATGAAAGTTTTTCCTTTCACAACATGGAAAATAATACAGCTCTGAAAGTTTTTATGAAGTCAGATAATTTTCTCTGAATTTTTTAGATTTTTTAGATCTCATTATGATATGCATTTGAAGAATACCTTATGATTATTTTAGCACAAGTAGTGGGTGTGTGCGTATAGCAGTGAACATATGTGTCAGATATTGTTAAGCAAAGAGTTTAGGGGTTTTTTGTAGCAACAAAAGCTTTCTAAAAGCTTTTCATATTTTGGTTAATATTCTCTTTATGTGCCTTACATGTATTTATATTTTTATATAAAATCTGGACTCAGATAATAAGCAAGGTAAAAGAAGCAAAATGTAGTTCTAGCCAGTTTAAGAAAAGAAACAATCAAGCAAATCACAAAAATCCCTCAACAAAACCCAAGAGTTTCGTTCACTGAAAACTCTTGACCAGATAATCCTGTGAAAGACCAATGAAAGGTATCTATTTGTTTCCTTTGATAGAAATAATACATATTTGGCCTCTTTATAAAGGTGCATTTATTTTCACATGCTGGTTCATCTTAATTTTTAATGTGTTTTTGGTTTGTGCATTGTGTGTCTGACGGAAAGAAAGATTACTTTGTGGCTGTCAGTGGCTGGAATGAAGGCTCAACCCACCAAATACCTTCTTCATCTATATTCTGTGTGTGTGTACCCTGCAATGAGGCAACGAGTCTCTGTTGAGAACAGCTTCCATAATTCCTTAATTATGTCTCTGATTAAAAAATTTCTGACATTTTACATGCCTGAAACTGCATGCACCACTATACTCTCACACTCACAGCCTTAGGGTAGATTATATTATTCTTGCCTGCAAATCAGGCTGGGGTCTAAAAGACAGTGAGAACTCTTGTTGAGATGATACTGCCCTTTTCCCATTTCTGCAACTGGAGATGTCTTGAATATTCAAGATCTGATTCATTTTTTTCACAAGGCATCTTGATCTGTTACCTTAGAAACAACTGCATAGACACTGGAGGTTCACAGCATATAAAGAACTGGAGAGTGAAGCACTATGATGACTAACTTGAAATGAAGGTTTGAATAAGTGTATGTTTGCATAGCTCTCATATTTTAAAGGATAATAAGGAAAAATGTAGGTTTTTTTTCTCTTACAGTATTCCTAATATATTTACCTGACATGCTACATCTTATGAGCTACTCCTTTCTTGTAAGCAGATGATAGTTTATACTGAATAGTACTCTGACTGAGAAATTCAAAATACTTATATAATGTGCTTTCTGTAAATTTGCTCTGAAGAGTCATTGCTCACTAAATGCTGAAAATTTATTAAACGTTAAACAATACTTTGAAATATGTCTACATAGCCTGCTCATAAATAGTAGAAGAAACTGCATCTGTGATTTTAATGCTGGGAATTAACTTTAAAGATTTAAAGGTGATGCAGATGGTATTTTCTGTGTCTTGTCAGTTGTCCCTAAGTGCTGCCCTATGCCCCACACTGGTGCTGGCTGTCAGGAGCTGGCTAGAACAGATGTCAGTGAGACACACTCTGAGACACAGCTCATGGCATGGAAACTGCAACGTCTTTCAGCAGCGTGTGGGAATAATTAGATCATCTGCATGGAAGAGAAGGAGTGTCAGACCTCATTCAGGGAGATGTGCATCAGGGAACAGACACCTGTGCATCTATTCAGGGACAAAGAAAGAGGAAAAAAATTCTATTTTGTTCATATAGAGCTGAGAAAGGAACAAAATAGAACATTACATTTATGTTGCAGTAATGTGCATGGGAAAGAGTGACAAAGTATTTTCTGTTCGTGTGGGAATGACCAGGAGGTGTTGTGATCTGTTACTCCTATAGTTCCTCTCCTCAGTGTGGAGTTAGGCTGTTGAGACTGTGAGTTTTTCCCTTACACAAGGCTCCATGTACTGGAAGTGGTATCTTGTGGAAACAAGCTACTAAGCCTGAGCATTATTTTCTTTCAGTGTAAGTCTATTCAATGTTTATTTCAGACCCATTTCTTGGGGGCTTGACATTTATGTACAGAACAGAGAAATCATAGATTTCTTCTATGATTGTTTTTACATGTTTCAATCAGTGCGTTCCAAATCCATTTAAAATATGTATGCATTTTTTTGTTGGCATCTAAAAAGTGGTCTTACAAGTTTCCAAACCTCTCACAGTGATTCTTTCAGAGAAGCAGTGCTGTAAATATGTCTTAAGGAAAGGCATACAATACATGAGGTTGTTAAATTCCCTGCACCAGAAAATCAGGAATGATTCTCATCATTGTCAAAATAGTAGTTGAGCTCTAAGAAACTCTTAATAACTGATTAATTCTTAATAGGTGATAATTTATAGTGAGGCTCTGATATTTCATTGTCAGCATTATTAACTATTCCAACTGCCATTTTGGGGTTTGACTCTTTGTATCCTTATCTTTTTCATTTTTAAGATATCTTCTAAGTATGATTATATTTTTGTGCATGGGAGTCACTGTTGCACTAGATTTTAAATATCAAAAAAATTAATATAAGAATCAGTAAAAGGAAAACAAAAATCTGATATAATCAGAAGGTGTCTGTTCATCTGGTAAGAAGACTTGAAAAATGAGTCTTTGTTTTCTCACCCACTGACTAAATGTTCATTTCATTTTCCATGATTGAAGAGTGATCTCCAGCCTGATTAATGACAGACATGCTGCACCCACAGCTTCTTCAAAGAGCTGCTCCTCAGCAGACACACCTACGCTTTAGCCTAAAAGCAGATTTGTAGAACCAGGGCATATGGCATAAGAGAAAAACCCTCTGTATGCACAGCAGACAAGATGTTCACTTTCTCACCTCTGACTGCCCTTTGGTAGCACAGCTTCCTTCTGTGCCCATAACCCTGCACCAGAAACCCCAGACCTGAAAGACTTCATTCCTTCTCTTATTGTGCCTTTGAGTTCAAAGTCTCTTCTTAGAGCCCTGTCACAAGCAACTTTCCTAATGGAGCACAAGTTCTGTCATCCTTATTTTATTTTTATGAACAAAAGCCATATTTGGAGAGAAGTCTAAGGCCAAGCTTTGAAGAGTAGTGTGCAGTTTGACCAAGTAACGGCACTCAAGTTCTTGTTTACAGACTTGAAGAGGATCACTCAGCATGGGCAGTTCTTTAATGGGCAAGAGGGGCTGCAGGTGTGCAGCGCTAGGGACTGTGTTTTTGTGGCAAAGCTAAGGGAAGTCCAGAACAAGGGAACAGCAAGCTATTTAGTGCATCCTGTGAAGAGGCAGCTTCTCTTTGCAAGGACTTAGACATGTAAACAGGTTGGAGCTTTGCTGGTTTTGCTCTCTGCTTCCACACTAATATTTTAAAAAGGAATCATTGGGATTGCCTTGTTAGTGGTGAGCACTTGTCTGTGATTTTCTTCCCTTCTGCACTATTTGCAGCTATCTCTAGTGAAAAACCCTCACTGGCTAAGCATCCCAGTGACTCTCTGACCCTGAACAAAATAATTCTTTGTGGTGCCCACAGTGTATTAACAGAACACATGCTGGAGCTCTGAGCACAGGCTCCTGACCTGCCATTCTCTGGTGAGTTTGTATATCAAAAAAACCCTGAACAAAAAACCATGAAACCACATATAGGTGTTTTTAAAAGACTAGATTATTGATCTGTATATGGTATTAACTGTCCCTAAAAGTTACATTTATCTTTCACAGAGCTGTCTGAAGGTGACTGAAAAAGCATCAGTATTATGCCCATTTCATTTCCAATAGCTGTATTTTTACAAGCCTTTTTTTTTTATTAGTGGCAAATCATATAGTTGTAGTGCACAGTACTATAACAATCTTAATAATTTTATAATTTTAATAAAGCAAGTGAAACTATCTCTCAATAAATATTTTTCCTTGAAGAGACTGATAGAAAACTTCTTCCTTCTAATGATGATTCAAGGAACATCTGAAGAATTTAAATTTTCCTTCTCTTGTGGAGGAAAGAAAGTATAATTTTTCATTAAAAAACAATGGGAAAATCCAGATGATCTGTACTTAAAGAATTTGTGTGTGCAGAGCATGATGCAATGAGCTATCTTGAGTAGAGGAGGAGTAGGTGTGAAATTTCTAACAACTTCAGTGTAAAATGTTTCTCACATCTAACCATTGTTGAGATTTCAGAGTTTTCCCATTCACCCTCAGGAAGAAGCAAGACCTTTCAAAAATGTTATGACAAGAAAGGAAGGGGAGAAAGGAGGGAGAGAGATAAGCCTAAAAATAACAAGTAGGGTAGGACATTTGTCTAAGATTATCCCATCCTGGCCTGGAATCCCTGCCTTGAAAAAGGCTCAAAGGGTAAATCCACATGGTTCAATGAAGTACAGCATAAACATCCAAGCTGGCTGGTTCAGCTGGTTCACACCCTGGAAGCAAAGGAGTTGCACTAACTGTGGATGGTGCTGAGAAATAGTGAGAAATTCATGGAGAAAGCACTGCACTGAAGTGGAGCAGCCAGGCTGCACACCAGTTCCATGACAGATCTGCTTTTAGCTCCACCTTGTGAAAATATTTTGGCCTGCCCATGATTGCAATTGGTATCCAGAGTATCCTGCAATGCCCAACAGAATGATTCTTAATGCACAGAGATAGTGTGTTTTGTTACTTATGTCATAATATCACAATTGTATAATAATTATTAATAACATGAAATATATAATTTTTATACTGCTTTACAAATTCTGTAATTTTATAG